CTAGCGAATCATTCCTCTCGTTATATTGTTTACACAGAATATTAATAAATTAATTTGTTTACAAACTATATTATTTACCAAGAATATAACACTGTGTAAAAAAAATTAGTTTCCCTAAAGATTTAGATTTTAGATCTTCAATTCATCTAACTTTGGGGAAGATCAAATGCTAGGTGCATGATATTTCAATTGCTTTTGTATGCGTTTGGTTTTGAAATAAAACAAAAAAATGTTAGATAAATAAATGATTTTCTTCTCAAATAAATATATAAGAACACAAACCTTAAACCCAAATAATTTTTTGCTCTTGCAATCCATCGTAGGAATCTTTTTATGGAAAACCTTAGAGTGGTGGATGTAAATTGTTTCAAGCGCTTCATGATGCTTCATAATTTTATTGAGAATGCTCCTTTTGATATTCATAATGCTTTTATAATGGAAGTTTTTTATGTTTCACGTGGATCACTAATGGTAGTGTCTTGATCATTGATAGTCATAAAATGGATGACAAGAATTTTATTAAGGATGGTGATATTATCCTCAATAATCACGCCAAAATTGTTCCCTCGGTTTTGACAGGAACCGAGGTAAAATATGTTTACCCCTCGGTTTTAGAAGAAAACTAAGGAGATTAATATTTTTTTAAAACATTACATTGTTTACACAAAATATTAAAAAAATTCAAATTCATCATCGTCAGTATAATTTTAGATTTTGTTGCATCTATTGAAGGGTAATTTAGTATTATTAGTATGTTGCCTATGTGGCCCTAGTTTGTGTGTATAAATAGACTAGTAGTAGATGTCATCTTTAATCTAATATTTCTTACATCTTTTGTAGCCGTCATTGTAGAGCAATAAAATATATTCTCTCATTCTTTCTGTATTTCATCACCTTGTGCACTAACAATTGGTATCTAGAGTTATGGTTCAGATCCACAGGGAAACAAGAGTAAAACGGTAAGACGTTGTATGATTGATTTTGTTTCTTGAATTCGTGTTGAATCTTGAACGAAATTGTAACATAGTCACATTTTCTGATTTTGTGGGACTGGGAAACACTGTGTTTAGTGAGACCTGAGTGACTTGCACAAGGTTGAAGATGAACGAAACGATAGTATGAGCACCAAACTTCCAGCGTTTAATGGTAAGAACTAGAATCATTGGATGATTCAGATGCGTGTGTTTTTTGGCGCTCAAGACGTCCTTGATCTTGTCAATGATGGTTATGTTTCGGTTGCACTTCCAAAAAATGAAACTGATGCACAGAGAAATGCTCAGCGTGATATGAGGAAGAAAGATCAGAAGGAGTTATTCTACATCCATTAGTGTGTGGATGTGAACGTGTTTGAGAAAATCGCTGATTCAACAACACCAAAGGCTGCGTGGGACACAGTGGTTACGTCTTACGGTGGTGACACATCAGTGAAGAAGATGAAGCTTCAGTCTTTTATGAAAGTAGTATGATAATCTCAACATGAAGGACAACAAAAAGGTATCTGAGTACATCTCCAGAGTGATTCTGATCACTAATAAGATGAAAGCTTGTGGAGAAACCCTTTTTGAACAAGTAATCATTGAGAAGATATTGAGGTCTCTTACACCTAAATTTGATTACATTGTTGTAGCAATTGAACATTCTAAATATCTTGACACCATGAGAATAGAAGAGCTGCAAAGCAGTCTAGAGGCGCAAGAGTTGCGTTTCACTGAAATATTGATAACACTGAAACACATTGCGTATTTGACTCAGATTGCACATGTTTATTAGAGTATTAGTGTATTTTCTTATGTTATGTTTCGTTTTTGTCTTATTTTCAGGTACTTTTCTTACCTAGAGACCTTCTTGAAGAAATAAAGCCAAAAGCCCAAGAAATCAAGTTTTTTAGTGAAAATGTGAACATGGCGTTCAGCATGGCGGATGCCATAGAAGGCGCCATGACATGTTTGCTTGCAACCAGAAGGAAACTACCACGATCTCACGATGTTCCACATGAGTTTAGACGGAGGGCTCCATGGCAGGGATGGTGGGAACCATCTTTGTTATTTTTGTCCCGCCCAAAAGGAGTTGGGGGTAGTTTTGTATTTTTAAGGATTTTGTTTTCTCTATAAATAGGCATTCCTAGTTTCATTTCAAGTCATCCAACTTAGTTTACAACACTAAGCCTAAACTAACCATTTGTAAAAGCGATAATTTATCACATCGGGGGATTATCGCACCGTAGTTGTGATTAGGTTGGAGCACTTGTACATTAATCTTGTCGCCATTTTCTTTACAAGTCAAAGTTTACTTTCCAGTTGTATCAAATTTAAAGTCTCCGATTTGGAGCAGGTTTTATTGAGTTTTCGCATTACCTTTATTTACTTTGCATTTTCTTTATTTCGTTTATTTCTTGCACTTGCCTTACTTTATTAACTTTCTGTTTTGTCCTTGTCTATTTGTTTATTACCTTGCATACTTTACTCGCCTTTTAAGTTTTATAATCTATTTTAACATGATCAATTTCAGCATGTCTGTTTCTTTTTCCATGTTTGGCTAAGTCTTTTAAGGTTAGAATGTAAGGATCACTGATATGATAATAATCTATATATTGTATCTGTAGAAATACTTTAGGGGCTGTTTTGATTTTTAACACAAGTTTTCAGTACTAAATTTCATCTGGTAAGATCGAAAGATGTCCAATTCACAAAGTTAAACTTAGTTAGTTTTAATTGTCCAAAGAGGGCGAAAGCACTTTGTCCAGTTAACTAGAAGTTCTTAACACTATTAGAAAATGATTTTGAAACTATCTTCGGAAGCGTTTATAGGTTTAAAATCCGGTTCCTTGAGTGAAAGCCATGGATCCATTTTAAGTTAAACATTCCAAATCAGAATCACTTTTTTTAACTAAATCAAGAGTCCAATTTCTTAAAAATAGGTTTACTACCTTAACGTAAATACGCACCTTTTATAAGTGAAAATAAAATGCGTTAGTTAGAGAGTAAACCCGGTTCTGAATACGCGAAAGCGACATTTCCCGTTAAATTGATTCTTTTCAAAAGTAAAAAAATATTTCCCCATAAGTAGTTCTATTTAGAAACGATTGGAGTATTATCTAACTGATGTAAATTACATTCGAGCCTGATGTTTTTATCTGAATTTACATACCTTTTTACTATTTTGTTTTACTGTGCACTCTTGAACATTGACTTGATCCACCTTAGATAAACACCATAACAATAGAAATCGATAGATTGACATTTGGTCTCTGTGGGAACGATAATCTTTTGTATTACTCTAACGTGATCCGTACACTTGCGAAAATACCGCATCAAAGATCTTCTAAGAGGGAGGTTGAGCAGGATCTGAAAGCTTCTTTTGTCAAGAAGGACCAGAAGTAGAAAAGACATGGTAGGTCTTAGAAGTCCTAAACCTCCACTTTTGATGAGAAGAAATATTAGAAGGGAAGGGAGAAGTACGACCAAAGAAGGTTCAATGTTACTGTTGCAAGCAGTTTGGCCATTTTGCTAAAGATTGTTGGTCAACAAGGGAAGGAAATTAGAAGAAGTAAATATAGCCAGAGGAGATTTCAATGATGAAATTATGCTATTAATGGCTTATGAGTCTGATGGAAGGTGTTTGGTAGACTGGTGGTATATGGACATTGGCTGCTAAAACCACTTGACTTAAAACTAACAATGGCTGATAGATGTTGACTCCAGAAGGAAGACAAAGATCATATGTGCTGATAATAAGTATCTTAATGCATAAGGTATGGGAAATGTCAAAGTTAAAGTGAAGAATGGGAAGATTGTTCTGATCAAGGATGTTTGGTATGTTCCTAGCATTAAGAGCAATCTGATGAGTGTGGGTCAGCTTATTAAGAAAGGTTTCTCAATTGTTATGAAGGATAATCTCTTGAAGTTTTATGATTTCAATCAAAAGCTGATTATGAATTCTGAGCAGGGAAGCAAAAGAACATTCAAGGTGAATGTGGAGACAACTAAAATAGAGTGTGATGTACCCCAAAATTTGCCCTCCCATTTTTCAAGACAATTTGATTAAATATACCTCCTCATGCTCTTAGTGTTCTCAATTACTCAAGACTACTCAAGAATTGATCAGATGAATCCTCCTCCTGAGCAATGGCCTACAACTAGGGTTTTGTTCTTCTTAAGAAAAATTGGGCTTCTAATGCTTCAAGTGGATTTCATGGTTTCTCATATGCTTCAAAATATCCTCATGCCTAGTTTCAAACCTTGCAGCACAAGTTTGCTCAGTCAACTAGTAATATGATTGAAAATCAACTATATTGGAAAAAAAGTCAACTATGGTCAACTTATAGTAAAACTTCAAGATTTTTAGTCAACATCAAGATTTTAAGGTCACATTCATCATTTAATCAAAGGTTGATCATAAATCAACAAAATTCAGGATTCATCAAAAGTCAAAGGTTGCTAAATTAGGGTTTTCTTTAGGAGAAGTCAACTGAACTTTGACCAAATATAACTTTCACACGCTTCATCAGGAAATTCTCAACCAAAGCTCATTTTGATGGAAATTCAATTCCATTAAATTTTGTCTCTCTAAGCTCAAGGCCCAAAAATGTTTCATTTGAGAGATATGTGCCAAAACATTATAGGTCATTTTAAAAGTCAACAAAAAGACACTTTTTGTCAAAGCAATTTACATCAAGATAAAGTCTTCAAATGGAAAAATGATCAACATGATAGTTGTAGGGGACATCTTGAGGTTTATTAATAGTCACATATCACCTTCATATGACAAAAATTGAGCAAGTTATGAGTTGCACAAGTTGGGTAATTTTGTGAAATTGCATGAAACCTCAATTGAACAATTTTGGGCTTTTGGGCTAATGGGCCTAATTTTTGAAGTTCAAGCATGTCCATGACATATTAGGGGACCCCAAAAACCATTCTTATATTGTTTATGATTTTTATTTCTTTTATTTGAATTTTTATTCGTTTAAATGCAAATTAAATCAAATAAATAGTAAGTGGATGTCCTCATCTGTTATCGGATTTCCCGGTAAAAGGAACTTTTTCATTTCAATTACAATCGATTCCTGCTTTATTAAGGCATTTCGGTAGCTCACGTCTAGGGACTTATCTTCGCGTAATGACTCAATATTACGCAATTCACTGCTAAAATCCCGGACAGCCCGACCCTCCCCTTCTGAAGCTGAAGGACCAGGCTGATCTTGGGTTTCGTGAAATGCAGGCAGAGCCCCCTCTGGGGAAGGAGGTTGATTGAACCCCCCAGACATTCCTCCAGATGAAGAGGGGTAGAATTGTGCCACAGCTCTAGCGAGGTCTTCCATGAAGACATAACCTAGTTCCATTATTCCTCGTGAAAGAACAAGACTAAATAAGAATCCAGTTAAAAAATATAAAAGGTCTTTCCCTCTATTGGGAATTTTCCTAATAAGTGGTAGATTACAAAAAAATGTGAAACCTGAAGTGTCGCGAAAGACTGGGATGGGAAACAAAACGGAATGTACCGGATTTTTTGCACGTGCAACCATCAAACCAGAGACCAAAGCGGGGCTCGACAAAACAGAAAGTATCATGGTACCCTTAGTCCAAAAAGCCTTCCCGGAAATGGAACTTTAATGCTAGTTCTTGCTCCAGCATGAAAGTCAATCTATTACGACCAGCGCGGTTGTTCTTATTTAATTTTCTTCTTCCAAGCCTTACATGCACTAAGTTACTGACACTTACGGAATATAAAATCTTACACTGTGCACTGACTATAGTAAACTTCTATTCGCATTGACCGTAGAAAGTTCCTTCCTATCCTATTGCACTGACCAAAGTAGGTCGAGTTGACCTTCCAATGCATTCTTTTCGATCTTTAACTACGATAGACTGAAGACGAAGCCAATTTCGATAAAAGGTGAAGTCGAAGCTACTCGATCATTCAACAGGGATAGCTGGAATCTACGCTAGGATCCAACCAGCGCTGCCAGCTTTCTTCTCTTATGAAATTGATAGTTACAGAAAGAGATCATTTCTAAACCGGAATCTTAGGATACCACCACTAATAGAAGGACAAGGACCGGAGACTTGAACACCAGCCAGATAGGCATTCACCAACAAAGACCAAGAGCGTCCTATCTTGTAATTAGTACTAAGAGCGGCTATGAGTAGGAGCTTGAAGCCTACCCGCAGTTGATGGTCTTGTTGGAATATGCGCTGTTCTCGACTCCGATGCTATTGAATCCGTAAGGTTTGTATTAGCACTCGCTTAGGTGCTAAAGGTAGATATGCAAATCACTTAGTCCTTGAACTAGGGTAGGGATATGGCCTAGTAATCAAATTCAAATAGAGTACCAGTACTCTACTAGTGAAGGAGGAAATCGTCTTTTACATAGAAGGTAATTCTTGGAACTAACTTTTCCCTCTGAGACTGGCATTAAGTTATGAAAAGTTGTGTTTTCTCGGGATTTTTGGCAGCAGCAATGGTCTTTCTGCCCGTCCCTTTTTCAATTTCAACTAAGCTTGGCACAGCCGCCTAAGAAATTAGGTCACGGTCGCGGATCAGGAGAGAGTTACTTGTGTGACGCATCTATATCTGGGGATGATCGGGTAGAACTCAGGGCTTTCGGGTGTAAATCGGGGAACGATCAATTGGGTGTCCGGGGTGCTATAAAGATAGGGGACGATACGCTTTGCCGTGCCAGCTATGAGGCTATATTCTCGTTGAGTCGGGCGCTTGGGAAGACTGTCCTGTCGGGTTGGAAAACCAACATCGGACCGGGATGTTGTTCCCTCCTTGTCTGAAAAGATTCAGGAAGAATCTGGTAAGTTCGCTCTACACTGTCCCTTAGATGGGGAAGGACATAGGCTCGGCACATTTCGTAGCTATCATCGTCGCGTCCGTCAAATTAAGGCAGGCGTTGGTACATTATACTGGGTGGCAGCTTTTCGGTACACGGCCTTGCGTTGTCGTCAGCCGTACGCCGTTGAGCAGCAGTCTTTAGAAGCATGTCATCTATGAATGATCCGATGAAACTAGAGATGGAATAAAACCTAGCTTTTCGTCACGCGAATTAGCCGCCAGTCGCCTTCCTTGCTTGACAGTATAGCCTGCGGGTTAAATCCCCGATGTCGTATTGTACATGGGAATCTAAATTGTGAGGCCATTGAATGATAAATCACGACCTTAAACACTTGCCTGTAGCTATAGTGTCAACTTGACGCGCTGAACGACTATGATCAGAATCCTTTCGGGGGCCCCGTTTCCCATTGGTGCGCTGGAGACGGTTCTTTCTGTATCTTCGGCTTCCTCTTCTTCTGTAGCTTCTTTTTCGTCTTCTCCTCCTTCTGAGTCAAACAGATAAAATAAAACATGTGAATGAAGATAGATTGACCTTCCTCTTCTCTTCTGACTCGGCCTCCTCTTCCTGTTCTATTGATCAAAAATATCCAGCAGCAGCAAGATAGCGCCGGTTTATAATTCGCGAGAGATTTAAGTACGCTAAGTGAAACGGTCGATTTGCCTATTTTCTTTTTAGCCCATATTAGCGAGATCTGACTCAATAGGAACTGCACTTAGACTTGCCTCTATGGCTTCCTTTCCTTTCCTTGTATGGCTTGTCTTTCTATTGGACTGATAGAGCTCGCTCTAATCTCAATTTTTAATAAAGACTCACATACTCCATTCTAAAGAATTATAAGTCGAGTGACTTCGTACCTCTCCTGACCGATAAAAATAAGTTCCAGAGGCATCCTCCATTCATATCGATTTGGGTTTTTCTGCACCATATTTTGATCTGCCTCTTCTTCGATCCGGAATTCCCAACAAATCCTTGACTCCTCGAATACAATGGGATTTAACACCTGGCAAATCTTTAACTCTACCTCCTCTTATTAAGACCATAGAATGTTCCTGCGAATTATGACCTTCGCCCGGAATGTGAGCAAATATATCATGTCGATTGCTCAATCGTACTTTGGCTATCTTACGTGGAGCTGAATTTGGTTTTTTCGGTGTTCTCGTTGAAACACGCGGGCGTACTCCTTGCTTCTGGGGACATTGATCCGAAGCTCGAGTACGGTCCGTGCGCCGTTTTTCTTCTCTACCATGACGAATCAATTGATTTAATGTAGGCATCGCTCTTTCCTTTGTCCTTCCTCCCTATTTTTGCCCTATCACTAGTGATTACTCCCGATCCGAAGCACCCCTTTTCCATTCATAGAGAGATCCAATCGTCAAAATCAATAAAAAGGCCATCATAGACCAAGATCCAAACGGATCAATCTTGTTGGGAGGTACTGCCCAAGGAAAGGAAAAGGTTACTTCCGGATCAGGAATAATAAATAAAATGGAAACAAGATAAAATCGTATATCGAAACGACTTCTGGCATCACCGAAAGGATCGAAACCACATTCGTAGGCCGACAATTTTTCTGGATAGGTCGAACTATTGGAAGCAAAGGGAAAAGGAAGACCGAGTAAGATCAAAGAAACTAGCAGACTGATCACTAAATAGATACAAATAGGTGCAAATTCTGACATTACCACAAACCACTTGGTTCTTTCGCTCCATTCTCGCGGAGCGGCATACCGGAAAAAAAGAAAAAAGATCCGGGCCTGGTCTGGTCGACCCAATCATGATATTTCGACACATTGGGGCTATGGGACTCGAACCCAATTATTCCACGACCCCCATTTCCTTATCTTATGATATTTTATTTTTAAGATCACATCACCTTTCATACCAAAAAGAAAGCTCCTCATATACGATAGCACCAATGATAGAAGTAGAGAATGCTATCCTTCTTCTTTATTTCATCTGCAGAGCCTAATCCCTTTATCCCCTCTCCCTTAGGTTAGGGTGCATTCCTGGTGAGTAAGCCGAGTCCTTCTTGCTTGAAAGGAATAATAGCTTGCTTCCTTTGTGACTGAAAACTCTTTATAAGTCCAATTAGGCCTGAGCCCTTGTGGTAAATTAGCCAGCCCACTTCCACCAGTTCTGACTTCCTAAGGAAGTGTAAGCCATACTTTCTTGGCGCTGTCAGCCACGCTTTGTTTGAGATCCGTTGCAGGGCATGTGAACTTCTTTGTAAACGGGCTTCTTCCTAGGTCATTCGCTTGCGACCACTTACTGGAAAGACTTGCCTTATGCCTATCCCTTGTTTGCTGGATTTTCCTTGCCAGATTTCCTTTCAAAACTACTGCTTGTCCTGTTAGTCTGTTAGATCGCATGGACAGAACTCAAAATTACTAATTAATGGCTGGCAGGTAACGGGAAATGAATGGAATGGCATTGGCTTATGGGGCACTCCCTCTGGATGGATTAAGATAACAGGCCTCGTCCCAAAGCAAAGGAAGAAAGAGGCTTGCTCACATAAAATATCCCAGCAAGGGAAAGATAAGCCCCATAGCGTATTCAGGTATATCCGCAATCGCATATTATGGGCCATCTGTAGCCTATATATATGTATTTCCTGCAATGTCCAGGCCATTTCCTTTCGATGGCAGATCCCGTGGAAGTTAACTTTGTTTTGCTGTCGGACCAGGAGAGTGAATCGAATAGGTTACATAGGCAGGACAGGCGAGTTCTCATACATTTCCTGGCGCTGTTAGCCTGCCCTAATCTACTTCCTTCTCCTTTTTAGAAGTTACTGTTTACTCATCTTTTCCGAAGTGAGCATATACTTAATCTCCCCTAGTGTAAGAAAGTAGATTTCTATTTCTAAAACTTGCCTCTTGTAAGTGAGTGTATAAAATGGCATATCTAAGTTAGTTTGAAAGCCGGGTTATTAAAATACCAATGCCCTCTTTTGACATTGTTCGAGTTCTCTAGCGCCTGAGTCTGTTACGGTGAGTGAGGAAGCCTTTAAATTGAAAGCAGGCCTTTCTTTTATTCAAGTAGGAATTATAGGCAAGCTAGCAATTCTTCAAGTGAGAGTTTACATCCAGTGCTACATTTAGAGTTCCAGTTGCAGGAAAGGGAAAGAGACTTAGGAGAGCCAGCAGGCGCCAGCAAGCTAGGTTTTAAGTGAGCAATCTTGTGATTTCCTTGCCATCCAATTACAATTACAGTTGCTATCTAGTTTCAGTGCCTGTGAGTAAACCAGTTCAAGCAAGGGTAAAAGCATATTCCGATTCCGACTAGCTGATTATAGAGTCATATGCTAGGCCAGTTTCCAATCATCCTGTTTTTAGTTTGTCGTGCCAGGCGAGCAAATGGGTTCCCTAGGCAGTAATTGGTTGCAGGGCATTTTCCTTGGATGTTTTTTCTGTCCTATATATATAGAACAACAGGTAAAGCCTTAATTAAACCTTTGGGTGATCAAAGAAGAGAATCAAGGCTCCTCTCCTTTTCTAGGAATCTACAACTCTCTTTACTGAGCGAGACTCTACCCAGATCTAAAGAATTCGCCAAAGAGCCTTCTTCTAACTAGGAGAGTCAGCAAGCTACCGGAAGCGAAGCTTCTGGCTCCCCCTTTGAATTTCCAATTCCTTCTTTTCGTTCTACTTAGGTGGAGCAATCCGAACTCTCGACAGAATATAAAAGAGCGTCTTCGAACCTGTGTAGACACCTCAACGAACTCATGTGGACACTCCTCAGCCCGAGCCGAGGACAATTTATCAAAAATACACATTAAGATGTTGACCCGTTTTTCTTTTCTTTGCTGATTCCTCTCAATTAAATTTGCCATGTTGCACTAAGTTACTTACGTATGTATGCATGCGGTCCGGGAACACTTTGGGGTGAACACCCATCCGAACAAGTAGGGTCAATAGTTCAGCATTTAGGCCGTAACATTTAGCAACAAAAAAATCTTTAACCCAACAAGTGCTCTCCGAACCAAGCTAGATAGTCTCCTATCACTAGGCTCACCAACCAACCTGGACTTTTATTCTGATTATTCCTACCGGATATCAAAACCATAAGGAAGGATTGTTTCCAGCCATGAGTTCCCATATTACATAAGCGCTCTTGGGTGGGCCATTCCATCAAATCTTTGAGAAGGGGCCCAATCTCGTCTTTTATGGTCGGCGTGGCGATAGGCTTCGCTTCTACGACTGCCTCCCCAGCCGTTGCAAAGACTGAGCGAGAACGGTAAGGGGCGGAATGTCGTTGCGCGGGGATGCGATTAGCCAAGCTGGGGCAAACAAAGCCGTCCGGCCCCCTACCGGATTAGGAAAGCGAAGGCCTTTCCTTCGAAAGGAGACCGGGTAAATCAAGAGCTATGCTATTGACCGACCCTTTCGTAGTGACTTCGAATCAATAGTCCTATCCTTTTTTATCATTTTGTTTGAGGCGGGCCGAATAGAGAATTAAATGCAGAAATACGGGAAGAGTTCCAAACCGGTTTAAGGGCTGCTCGCCCTACCGAAGTACTAAAGGCTTTCGAGGCTTACACCTCCCTATTACACGACCTAAAAAAAGGTAGCTTGCTGTAGCGCCCTTAGAAGAAATCTAAGCCTTTTGAAGCGCCAGTAGTTGTAGCTGTGGCCACACCAACCCTTTCGTTCTTATCGCTCCGGGTTTCTATCTATATGACCTCCGGGCGGTACAAAGTAAACCTCTTCCGTAGAGGCAGGTAGTAACCTACCTAACCTTTAAGAGTATGTTCAAGGGGGGGAGCCCTCTTATCTATCAATGGAAAGATCTCCGTGCGTGATAAGGAATCCTAGAAAAGATCGATTGAGACTCCCTCCCCGGTCCCACGAAGATCTCTACGTACTTGTCAAGTCCAGGACAACTGAGATCTTCCGGTCTGCGTGCGTGGGAGCAGCTCAAATAAAGAAGAGTCTGGTCTGAATTCAGGCCCGGCCCGCCCGTCTGCTGCTAGATCCGGGAATGGCGCCAGGCGAGGGCGCCGCTATGCCCCACAGCTCTGCAGCGGCCGGCCCCCGGACTATGCAAAAGAATAGAGGCCGGGGGGTCTCGCCCATAGTGGTTCCCCCCGCCTTTGGTGATTGACCAAACTAAGAGGCCTAAATCTGTGCCCCTTAATGAATCGAATGGTCCTTCGGCCCCTTAATTTTATTCCGACGGCCGGCATAGATATCATGAGACCCGCCCACTATTACTACGAAAAAAGCCCTGCCTTTTTCCTTCAAACTAGGAGAGTCAGCAACTTCTATTAGCGCCGGACCTTGAGTCGAATTGATCGTGTCATGTGCAACGTCCATCAATGATGGTTCATTAATGTCCATTGATTTAGACTCCTTCCCCCTTCCCAACTACGAATAAGATCGAGAGGAGCCCCCCAAGAACGAAAACGGAAGCCTTTCGATTCACTCCCCATTATCTCTTAAATAAAGCTCGCCCTCGAGCCTTGGGCAGGTCGGCCGGGTCTTTCCCTGTTGTTCTGTTCCCGCCACGAGAAAGACGCACAGAAGGAAGAGGTATGCCCGACGCGCAGAGGATCCGTTGAGAGTGTCTGTTGTATCGGTAGGGAACTTTACGATCTTTTCCCTGTATTGAATAAAAAAAAGAAGAGGTCAGTGCTACGGCCCTCTATTGTTTGATCCAATATTGACCGGGGACGAGCCCCGACTTCCATAGGGCCTTTCCTTGGTTTGACCTCCCGTAGTGGTCCTTGCTTTTAATAAAGCTCCGCGGGGCTAATTTATCGTACTTGCTCAGTGTGCCCCCCTTTCGTCGAGTGCCCCGCCCGGTTCACAGGGCTGTTGGCCTACCAAGCACTTGCCCGCAGCTCCTGCCGCCCGCCAAGCGGGCGGAGCGCTCGTTATCCTTACTGTTCTCTATGCCGGGGCCCCCTCCCATTGCTCTAGCCATAAGCTATGGCAGCTCCAGCTCGAAACCAAAGGGGCCCGCCCTGCGAGGCCAGAGTGGGCTCAGTGGTCAGCCCCCATTCGAATTAAGGGGTCTTTAGCTTTTGCCAGATCTAGAGAGATACTACGAGTCCTCCGTCCCAGATTCCATCGCCGCGGCCATCCGGTTCACCGGTACTACCAAAAAGTCTCATGCTTACGTTACTACTGTTACTGATGGTTTGATTATCTTGGACCCCGGTCGGTCGTGCTTCTGGTTTCCATTCCCATCATCATATTGATATGATCAATCTCCTCGCGCTCTGCCATAATAACTTGGAGTCCGTATCATGGTGAAGGTAAGGTAACGCTGTGATTCTTGCTCAAAAAACAGACCGAACGCGTTCGAGTTATTGGCTCGTCCAACCCGGCAGCATTCATGAGTCGCTCGTTCAACTGTCCCTCGGAGACACGGTCGAGAACATGCATGGTTGCCCCCCGTCCTTTCTTGCTCTCGGTCCCACCCAGCAAGATACGGCTCAGCCAAAAAACGTGAGCGCCCCTGCGCGAGCCTTATTTTTTTAGTAAAGTCAAGCTTTGGCTCCCTAAAGACTAAAGACAGAAATGGATCAAAAAAAGGGGGGACTTCTGCAACGGGCTATACCACCCAAACCAACTGAGGGAAGTCGCATCCGCCCCATCGCAAGCACCTACAATGTCATGATCACATTGGTTTACCCTTTTTTCTTTGGTAGTTCAACGGACGGTCGCCCCTCCAACAAGAAAAGGTATAAATATGGAAACTTCTCTGCCATTTGGATCGGAGAATTTATGGAGGAAATCGGCTTTTAAATTTCCAGAAACCACACGATTATATAGCCAAAGGGAATACGCCGCGCCTAAAATCATCCCAAGCGCTGCTAATGTGGCTACTAAGCTATTTCTTTGGAAAGCTCCTACTGAGATGGGAAATTCCCCGATAAAGCTGCTAGTACCTGGTGAACTCATATTGGCCAAAGTGGAAGAGAAGGAAATGGTAGAGAGATTCGGCATGGTGCTCACTAACCCTCCGTAATATCTAACAAGTCGAGTCTTATGTCGGTCATATAGAACACCAACACATAGAAAAAGGGCTGAAGGAACCAGTCCATGACTTAACATCGGTGGAATGCTACCTCCAATTCCCTGTATGTTCGATAGAGCCAAAGATTCCCCCCCCACTGATCGGAGTACGCCGATTACCCCCCGAACCGTACAAGATAGTTACCGCCTATCATACGGCTTTCTAACTTAACTTTTTTTTTATGGTCGTTCCGCTCTGTTGATCGATGGTAGTATAAGAGATCTGATCTGTAACCCCCCGAAATTTTTTACATAAGGGTTCCTGCTTTCTACCCATAGTTAGCATGTATCTCCCCGGGTCATACTTGAGTATCACATCGTAGACCCCCACCCCAACTCTATCTTCCTTATCAGTGAACCGGAAATAGTGCATAGGTACTTTTAAATGCAGCGGGGACGAGATGACATACTACGATCACGTACAGAAGTGCTGCCCTTCGGCTCGGCAATATGGAACCTCTAAACATCCCCCGTTCCTTTATGAGGTCCTATCGGGATAGGTAGGCCCAGCCCAAGCCTTCCCCCTCCCTCCATAAGACCCTCTTTATCTTTCCCCCTCGAGAAAGAGAAGAAAGGGTTTTTTATCTTCTTTCATGTGAATGGCCCTATCTTGTATCGAAAGGTTTTTCGTGCTATACACCACGTTGAGAAAGACCAGCCTCCTATGTACCGTACCCTTTTTTTTTACCCCTGAAAGGGAGGTCCTCCTTATGATGCTACGGACGGCTGTCCGAAGTGCAAGGGGTAAACTCGGACGAGGATAGGATTGCGCGCGCCGGGCCCTCCCTTCGGGTGTCAAATTTTGGCCGAGTTTACCGTACCTCCGGCCCTTATGTTACGCGACCGTAATCTTTTTTTATGTTCCACCGCTGTTACGCCATAAATAAAAGGTTCCACACGAGCTCCCGTTCTGCGGCGTGGTGGCAGGACCGATAGGAGATTGGCTCCGGGTGTAGATAGGGTAAAATCCGCAGGAGTCATGCAAATACATAGGCCCCTTCCCCTCTCTTTTAGATGAATGGGGTGGTTTAGAACGTCTTTTCCTATCTACGGTCCCTCGGAGCGAGGGGTTAGGCAGGTAGTATGGGCCCTCTGACTTCCAGCTATGTGTTGTGCGGCTCCCGCGAAGCGAATGAAGGGAAGCTCTTCGAGCTTACGCTTACTCTCAGCCTCTTTGATTGGTAGGCGGGCGGGCCCCCTACTTAAGATTCCATTCATAAGGGTAATTTTCTGTTGTCGTGACGCTTTGGTTAGGCCGACTACTAGACTACTAGAGGTTACTTCTAGCTTCTATAGGGGCCTTTCCACTTTGGTGTAGTTTTAGTTTGTATTGGTACTGAATGAACATATCAAACAAAGGCGAGCAGTATAAGCCCTTCTCTGGCCTGGGAAAAGCAGCGAACTCTAGAAGCTAGGGCGTTCGTTGTTCACCTTTACCTTTGGACACGAACACTATTCCGTTCTCAGCGTAAACCCGCCTTAGAGATTGAACGGCAATAAGATAAGTCGACGTTCAATCTAAGACAGCGCTGATAGCTTGTAGTGAACAGCCCCCTTCTTTACCAACCGAAAGCAGCCTTTGGTACTTAACTTAAGTAGGGAACCCTTGCAACTATGATAGAAAGCCGTTTGCTTGTTGCCAAACCCTTCGCCTTTCTTTTGTTTTGAATCAAAGTAGGTCGCGACTGTTGTATTTTTGTTTAGTAGGTCGGGGGAAGCTACCGCTTATACGACAGCTCTGCTTCCTCGTCTTGCTTCTGGCAAAGCTTCTACTTTGCTTGCGCGAAGGCTTATTAAGTCCTTTTCGCTAGGTCCAAAAGCTTCCGTCAAAGCTAAAGATCTGATCCAACTTAAATCCCGCATATCCGCTGCGCTCAATATGCGGCTACGGCTAGGCGATCATATCGTGCCAAAAAACCTTTTTTTATGTATAGAGAGATCCCCTAGATATACAGATAGAATAGATGTTCATGGATAGACAGACATTCCATTGATTCTTAGTTTTGGGGCTGAAAAAGCTCGTCGATCCAAATGAATCATTCTTGTGGTCTCTCTTCGCCCCCCGCCCCGAAACTGACCCACAGCACAGCGCCCATTCGCTTCGCGCGCGGGAAGGCTACGAAGTTCAGTTCATGAGACCGCGGCGGAGTGGAGCAGCCGCGACACGAAGTTCCTTACCTTAGCTGGATCTCGCTGGTGCCACCTAAACGGTAAGTAGGCGACGGATGTGTGACGTTTGGAGTTGTCGTTCGTGCACCTGTCCCCAATGGAAGAATGAGTGATCCGTTCCCCTGCGGATCATGGCCTTACCACTCGGTCCCCGATGGCCTGCGGGGGATTCGGTATAGCAGCTTACGTTTTTTTGCGCTGCGCGTTCCCGCTGGACACGTGTTAGCTGTAGGAAGTATGGTTCCGAAAGTGACTTCGGTTCGCCAGTTCAGGCTCAACTCCTCGCTTTACGTTAGCAGACCTACACTACAGGTCGGGCCGGGGCTCTGCGCTCTTTCTTTCTGTGTGGGACGATGCCGGGGAGAGAAGGGAATGCGTCGAGGCGGCGAACAACACAACTAGATTTTTGCTTTTCCCTCCATCCATGACAGTGCATTGGACCGATGGATAAGAGAACTGAGCTGGCGCTTGGGCGCTCTACGTACGATGTAGACTCCATCAGATACATATCGATTTATTTCTGATGGATCAAGAATAGTTGTCTTATCAATAGATAGAAATAGGGGATTTCCCCTTATTATTGATGGATTCCCTCTATCTCATTCCTACTCTTTCGATCTATCAGAACGGATCAGGCTATCTATCAATCGATTTTTAAATAGCACGTTCATCTCGCTTTTCGTTCATTTCCGCCACGCCAACATAGCCACAATAAATAAGAAGAAGCAGGCGAAGCAGCTAGAAGCGCTCGCTTCTAGCCCTTTAATTCTTATTCACGAATGAATTTGGAAAGCCAACACAAAGATTAGATTCTGACTTCGTAGAGCCGGTGCTGCTGTTGCCTGCGCGTAGGGTGTCCCCCACTCCCGTCCCGGGGCGCTAAGGGGCTTTTGTTTTTGGAACAGACGACAATGTTTTGCTGACGCCTTGAATCAAGCTTTTGTTGCGACATGCTATGTTTTCTCCCCCATTGCTAGTAGGTTGATGGGTCGCACGCCCGGCACACATGTTTTGGCCTTGTCTTTTGTGTCCATAACTAAAAATAGGTGACCTAACGGCCGCCGCCCGACTAAACATACCAATAGTCACCAGATTCATATGGGCTACTGAGGAGTAAGCAATGATCTTCTTAAGATCGATCTGTCTTGAAGTGGTCAAGGAAGTATATATTATAGCAATCGCGCTTGGAGTATAAATGAAAGGAGTGGAACAAAGTGTTGCTTCGGGAAACATGGGTATTGAAAATCTTAAAAACCCGTGGGCTCCCAATTTTGAAGGAATTCCTGCCAAGATGACGGATCCTGCCGTAGGTGCCTCTACATGAGCTTCGGGTAACCAAATATGAACTGGTACCATAGGCACTTTGACGGCGAAAGCGGCGAAAGAAGCAATCCATAGAAAGATTTGGCGCCGCTCACTAAATTCTGTGGTTAATGATATTTGTAAATCGGCGGTCCCTGTTTGGAAAAGAATCAACAGAATAGCTAATAGCATAAAAACAGATCCAAGTAAAGTATAAAGGAAAAACTGATATGCTGCCTTGATCTTTCTTTGTCTCGAACCCCATACCCCTATAATAATGGTAGAGTAAGGGGTGGCCCCAAAGCGGAATTTACCGGTGGTGGTTGGTCGAAGCTCCAGTAGGTAGCCACTCCCTTCTCAGGGAACCGTACGTGAGACTTCCGCATCATACGGCTCCGTCCCGAGCTTCCGTCGTCGGCCCTTGTCATTAGACCACTATCTATGCATGTATATTAAGCCTGGACTCTCGAATCTTTTGCTTCTCGGGTGGTGGCGAACAATGCAGCTTGCGTTGCGGGAGATGCCCGCCCGTAGGGCCCGGCCCGCTTCTCGCCCGAAAGAACCGCTCACTTGCTAGCCGGACTAGTGGGGGGCCCTATCCGGAGACATACTGAAAACCATGCCTTTCGAACCGAACGCAACGCCCGTCTTCAAAATAATAAAAAAGGGAATAAAGATGGAGTGCGACCTGTAGAGCACATGTAACGCACAATCGGTTGCTCACGCAGTGGATCTCTCTCTAGATATCTAGAGATAGAGATGTGAAAGTCATAGCCTTTCTTTTATGGCCGCCCCGCCCCCCGACTTACGGCTTTACGCTACTACTACTGTGATGTGAGCGGTTCCAATTTGTTTCCCAATTCTCCTGGCCGGAACTTGTATGCAGCACTTATACGAAGGTGCATGCAGCAAGGTTTGGAACTATTTTCTTATCTGAATCTTTAAGACGGGACCCTACCCTATTATCGAACCCTCTACCGAGCTTAACCCTGCCCGCATTTCCTTTTTTTTTTAGGGGGCCAAAGAAATGTCTCCACCTGCTGCCAACAGTCTTTCTTCGGAATTCTACTGAACGGGTCGATCCTCCCCTCCCGTTTGTTTTAGCAACTTATCCTAAGGTCTCCTCACCGGGAGCTCCCCGGCGACGACAGAGGAACCAACCCGCCTGCTGTGGCGGGGCGGCTTTTTTTTTCACAATAAGACCTGGACGATTATCCCTACCCTCGGTAGCTTACGAGTTTACGTCCATCCCTGGTTGGGTACAGTTTCCTTTCGATTTTTCCCTTGTAGCCGTTACCCGAATTCGCGCAAGTGTGTCCACACCCCCCAAACTGACTTGACGAGGAATCCATTCTCGCGAACAAACACAACCCCTACACACACCTAGGAGCACCCCTTCCTGCATATCCATACAAGACCCGAGTAGGCGGGTCGAGGTCCTACGAGGTACCCACTACTCGGAGTACCCTCCCAAAAGGAAAAAGATGTGTCTGTCAGGTTCGGTTCGTCTTAGTTGGGTTGGGCGGGTTCGACCAGAAATGCTATGCTTACGCACAAGACTACCCCTCTTCCCGAAAGCTTCGCGGGGACTACTTTACGATGGACGACCGCCCGTAGGGGGTTTACTGCACAAGGCCCCTGCAGAGGAAAAGCTTTATCCCAGCGAATAGAAGATGCTCAGCTCCGCACAACATAGGGATTAGCACGCTTTCGGGAAGAACATAGAATAGTAGAGGATCCAGCATGCGGAACACGGCGATCATTAGAAATTCACGAATTAGAGATGCTGTAATATACTCTTTCCCATAACTTCTCATACCAGACCAACCCACTAAAATACAAATAGGGATAAGAAATGTGGTCAATATCACGAAGAAAAAAGAGAGACCGTCTATACCCAAATTAAAATTGATGTTTTCATAAGGAAGCCATCGAAGGCTTTCCACAAATTGAGATTTGGCCGTAGAAGGATCGAATTGTATCCGAGGAACAGGGGAATACAAAAAAGTAATAAGAGAGGCACACAGACCAATCAATCGTATCGGTCGTATTCTTGAATTTGGAATGAAAAGAGGAATAATGCTTCCTAGCACGGGACACAGAATAGGACCACTTAGATCAGAATAGCATTCACAGAAATGTTCTAACATAGAGTAGAATCGAACATTGAAGAGATTAGTTGACAACAGTCAAAAGATGGGCGCCTAATTCCAATACAATAGGGGTCTATCAGTGCAAGTCAGCTGAACACCGTGATTGATGAGTGGGTAGGTGGGTTAGGTGCGCCTCTCGTCCAGTGGGAAGTCTTGAGGCGAGTCTCCTCCCCCCTTCCTTTTTTTACTTTTCCTCTCTCCTTTTGCTTGTGCTTCTACCCGGGCTTTTCATTTTTATAGATTTTGAGAGACCCGAGGATATTTTTATAAGATTCATTGCTCGATTTTGCATGCTCTGCTCCCAAAATGCAGAGATACTTTCGAGGGCAGATCCGGGTTGGTCCGGGGAGAGGCGGGCTAAGTGAAAGAAAAAAAAGAATATGAATATAAATGGAGCTATGTCGACTTACGTACGTCTCGTTGACCAAACGATCAGGTATACCACGCCACGTATCATCCCCTCTTTCTATAGAGGAGAGATAAAGAAAAATAAAAGAGATAGCGATCGTGCCGTAAGACCTTGTTCGTTTCTACTTGACGTTATTTTCCTCGGTTTTTTTATTTGACATTAAGGCCTTTAGTTTTAGTAGGTTTGGGCTAGGTCGTTGCGCTCCTGCCACGTCTTGGCAAAGTAGGCTGATGGGAAAGCCTCCTCCTGCCGCAATGGTGTGGGGCGTCAGAGGCTGTTGCCCCGTCGCCAACTCGAAGGGGCCGAAGTTCGACGCAGAGCTTTTTGGTTATTAATTTATAGCAGCACTGAGCAACATCCAACAGCTCCAGTCCTTCTGGTTGGTTTGCTTGCACTAAAGTGCCTTAAGTAGCCCTCGAGGAGTCCGTTTATATCCGTCTGAGCTTTCAAAGATATACCGACCGTAGGTATCTTACTTACCATCAGATACCGACAGTCGTCTTCTAACATTACCGACCTTCAAATATAGGGTTTTAATCATCAGAAACAACCCGATTTCCGAGACCTCTTGCATTGCATTACCATAACGAAAAAAAGAGATAAATTGCTCTTGTGACTCGGAATGAACCTTTATCGGTGGAAGAAAGGAATAGCGATGGATTCCTATGAAGCATTCAGGAACAATAAGATTCAATCGGACGACGAATTCATACGTGGTCCAAGGAAAGAAAAGGTCCGCTTCCACGATTTCATCTATATCGAATCTTAATATAAGAATAGCTTATATAGTCATGATTCAATTCAGGTCCACTGACTTTTGATTGATTTATCTTCGGATCTGATTGGAACATTTGAGAAGTAGGAAGACTTTGGCGGGCGATTCATAATTGGTATCTAGAATATATATGTCCTAGGACAGAAAATATGAATAATTAAGAGAAATTAAAGATAATATATATCTAATCTAAGAATTTTTAGGCTGTACACCTAATTTTTATTCCTGGGATTGTAGTTCAATCGGTCAGAGCACCGCCCTGTCAAGGCGGAAGCTGCGGGTTCGAGCCCCGTCAGTCCCGACCTAGGATCCGATGAATCGATCAATTAATCTCTGTAGGGGGGGCTTAGGATCTAATTCCCAGCAGGAGGATCCTTCTTTCGTTTCGCATTTATCATCGGACAAATCAAGGAATAAAAATTACAATAACTAGTACCGATTGATGGAGGAGAGACATATGTAGGTTGGTACAATCGGGGGTATCACCATATTAAGCATATTAAGTAAGGATTCAAAGAGAGACCGTACAGGTCTGGCTTTTTTCGATTGTTCCTGGCCCATCGAATAGAGTAGCAATTTATTTCCCATAACATAACATTTAATTTTTTTTTTACGATACGCAATTAACTTAACATAGTTACCCCCACAGAGTACTTTTAAGATTCAACCTACCTTTTCTTTCTAGCTCCGATTTTCTTTTATTCGCTACACCTATTCTTCTTCCAATAAATTTTTAATAATCGTCAACTGCTCTACTCTAATTCATAGGTTTTTTTTGTATTGATCCCGGGATCTATCGATACAATAGTATGGGCATAAAAAAAAAGCAACCAAGTCATCCCTTAGCACAAGCACTAAGTAAGCAAGCTACCTTTTTTTCTATAAGAAAAAATAACCCATAAAATATTGAATGACTGAGCACTCAAATCCTATCGCGAGTCTTGATACATAGTCTATTAAGTCCTTTCCACAACTCCTAATTTGATTCTCCATCGGCCCATCCAATCTAATTCACGACTCAGTCAGTAGACACTACACTAGTAGGGTAGTCAGTTATGTAATTAGTAATTTTTTAACCAAAAACCCCTTCTTTCTTGGATCCTAGGAGCTCGGATTTACAGTCCTTTAGAACAACCTTTTTATCCCGGCCCCTGACTTTCGTATTGATGAATATCACAATTTAATCTGACTACCCAAGTCGATCCTATTGGCATAGGGCAAACGACGACGGGATCTCGGTGCCTTTATCTTGCTCTTGAAAGAATAGAAGTTGAGTTCGAGTTGTTATCATGCCGGATCAGAAAAGTAAAAAGCCATACTAAGAGCCTGCGGACCTGCTCACGGGAGTCAGGCCTGTTCTGTAGTGGGCAGACGTAGCAGGGCCATCTGAAAGAATATAGGATAAAGAGCCGCTGGAGAAAACCAATTACGCCGGGTTCTCAATTCCATGGAGTATGTAGTGAGTTTGAATTTACCCGGTTAGCTTTAAGGTTCCTTTCGCTACCGTCCTAAGGTTAAACCAACCGTTGGTTTGCTTTAACAAGATTTAACTGAAGTGAACCCGACGCGAAGTTGGTGAAACCTGAGCGTAGCTAATGAAAGGGAATACCTAAAATTAGAACAGAACCGACTATAAGCCCTGAGAGCCAGCAAGCAAACCCCCCAGACTCTCTCTCTCTAAAAAAAAAAGCCTGCGTAGTAAACTCCTTGTTTGTTTTCTTTCCGATAGCTGCCGTTTTTCAAGTTTTCAAGTCAAGCGAGAAAGCAAGTGGAATAATACTTTACTTTTTTCGGCCATTTCTCAGCAATAGCTACCTGAATGGAAGCAAGCTACGGGGATAAGAAGAAGAGTGGTCGAAGACTACGAGTCGAAGCTAAGACCAATCTAAGCCAATATCCCTCAGCTGGAAACTATCTAGATAGCTTTTTAGCGCTTAGCTACTTGATCCTTCTGCGCCGCTAGCGCTACTACTCCTAGTGATAGGAATAACCTACTATTTTTCGCGAGAAGGCCCATCTCGTCTCGGACCGGTGACGTATTCTAATGATCTGGATCTCTGGCTTATCTCTTACTTGACGGATTCCATTTCGGCTAGTGGGATTTAAGTGACGATAATCGGGGAAAAGGGTTGATTGGCTCTGATCGATACCATCTAAAAGTGCTTGCTTCATCCATTCGTTACTGGTTATTATTACGCCTCTAGTGACTCTTGGAATCATGCGCATGGCTCCATGTCGGCCTTAATTTGGCGTCGGTGTAACGACCGGTGCAAGTAACAAATACTACCTACGAGTCTCATTCTCTCGCATTCGTCCTTTCCTTACCTGTGTTCTATTCTATTGATCCAGTTTAGGCAGCTTTCAGTCTCTATAAACTTGATGGAATATTTATGACACAAGATACGAAGTCATCAATCAATGGCATGAAGGAGTTCAATCAGGAACATAAATACTTTATTTAGGGTCAGATAAAAATGGGTATGCAAGCAAGCCTTGCAGTGTGACCGCAACTTGCTAGCCGACACCGGCTACCGCAAAGAGTTCAGTGTAAAAAAAAAGCTAAAGAAAAGACCCTTCCATTATTATACTTAATATTACCTTTCAACCCCTTACGCAATGAAGCAAAGTTATGAACTTTAGTCAGGGTCAACTCAAGATAACTCTTTCATCCGTCGAAGCAGAGACAGGAATTGCTACTTGAACTAGAAAGCATACTACTTAGATAATAGTAATTCATGTACACATCCCGTAGGCAAGGAAATATATTATTAGAAAGCCAAGCCAGTGCAGAGAGATAAAGTATAGTTACATAAAGAAGAGGAACCTGTTGCCAGAGGAGGCTATGAAATAGTTGCCAGTGATTGCTTTGGCAAGCTAACTGAAGGATCGAGGATAAAACCTCTTGTCAATACAGACAATTTTCATTGAAAAGTAAGCGAGTGGAATAAATGGAACGAGTATAAGGGCTAGTTAGTAGGTGAGTTTTCTAAGTTTGAAAATTGTAGTAAGCAGTAGTTAAGCTCTCAAGCGAGTCAGTCGTTAGTTTAGTTGATAATCCTGTCCAGTAAGGGAAGTAAGTAGAGTCAATAGAGTTGAGTAAGTCCTTGTTTCTTTCCGAGGTATAAGGCTTAAAAGGCTTTTGTTTCAAATCTTTTGGAGGCCCAAGATTGCATGAGAAACCATGTGAAGCTTATTTGTAAAACAAATCTTCATGTTTTGTCTTATTCCAAGTTATTTTAAAACAAGAATTAAAGATTATTCTATACAAGTTCCAAGCCCATTGTTCTTGACCTAATTTTCTCCTATATATACACTTCATCTTCAGACAAGAGAGAACGAAAAAACCCCTACAAGAACTCTCTCAAAAATATCAATTTTTTTTCCAAACTAGGGCAAACTTGAAATCATTGTTCAAGCCCTTCTCAAAGCAAACCAACCATTCCAATCAATACTTGGGGTGTTATAGGGTAAGACTTGATCGTTCTTGATGATCAAAAGTGCATGAAACAAGCATTCCAAGCATGGCCAGTTGAGATATTTTTATCAATTTCATGCTTTAAATTCTATGATGTTTTTATGTGAACTAATGCATTCATTGTGTTGCTGAGATGTAACAATACAAGATTGAACCATCACATGAGTCCCATAATTCCAGGATGATGGATCACCATGTTTAAAACAATTTGCTTTGTTTTCTTTATATCTCTATGTAGAGAAGGATTCACCAATAACCAAGGCCACCATTGAACTCGTAAGGGTTAAATTAGGGGGGTAGGGTCTCTTTTGGATCATTAATGCTTTTATTTCGCAGGT